GGGAAAAGTTCTCGTATCATTTGTGACGATCGAAAAAAAGGAAAATGATCAAGTAAAAACTTGGAGGGAGATGAATGATGGAATGTATTGGGTTCACAAAGGATGTAGCCCGGATAAAGATAATTTTGGTATTATTGGGATCCAAGTTGCTGGAATTGAGATGCATCGTCTCTACAATTTACGCACAGTCGAAATTCCAATTCAGTCAACAGATGGGGATACTGTGTTTAAATTTGTAGAAACATTATTGATAATACGGGTATGTGAAAAGTAAATTTTATTCAAATTTATTTTTACTTCAAATTAACACATATTTCATAATCATAATTGTAGAATATATTGCATGTCAATGTATCTCTGCTGTATTATGCGCTTCCAATTAGTTCAAGTAATAATACAGAAAGTAGTTCTACGGTACCATCTCCACCGAATTCACCAAAAAGAAAGGAAAGTAAAAGACGTCATTCACGTGAGAGATTAAATAAGGAAAAAAGCACGAAATTAAGGAAAAGATGATTTTATTTCTGTATTTTATTTTGATTTTTATACAATAAAACTGGTCCTGGTAGCTGATTTCGCATACATAATCGTGTCTACTTTTACATATGTATTTCGTGAATTTATTCTAATATATTGCTATCGTTATAACAGGAGGAAACGTTGAAATTACACAACTGATTTTTCACACGGTGTGAGACACATAAAAAAATTATTTTACAATACTTGATCGGACTTGGTCAGTCAGCTAGTATTTTTGCTGTCACCTTCTGATACAACACATACGCCATAATAGTATAATCTTAATAAATTATAAAAAAACTACGCCACTATTCGGTTAAAAACAAAAATAAAAAATTTTGTCTAAATAATACGTATATACACAGTAAAATCATGTTTTTTTTCAAAATTATATAATTATAACAAATATACAGTATACAGTATTACGTAGTAAATAAATAAAAAAAATAACAAATGAAGGAATATCTTTTTTTAGCAACAAATATTTCAATCCAATTCAATGAAAAAATAATACGTAACACGTGAAATTACTTTTCTATTTACATCCTAGTTAGTATTACGAGTGTTACGGAGTCTCTGCAATTAAGCTAATATATTTGATATATTCAAGCCAATCATTTATTGCTTCTTTGATTACCGTTATGTATAAAAAATCCTTGTGAAATTATTTTTATTTCATACTATATCGATGAATAATTTTGATATATCATCCGTTCCTTCCGATTATAACCCTAAATGGTATTCGCTTTATTGGCCTTTTAATTCAAGTGAAGCGAACTATTTGTATAAAGGAGATGGTTAGTTTTCAATATTATTATTATTATTATTATTATTATAATTTATGCTTATGTTTTTTTTTTTATTCATTATTTATAGATATTCGTTGGTTCACTACTTTATGGACGATAATATTTTTTATGATAATATATGGTTTCGCAGGAATATTTGCTTGTATTGTATTTCATAAATATCGATGGTCATTTTTGATCTTTGTCGGGTTCCTTTTTGTTGCGTTAATAACGGGATTTGTTGGTGGCACGATTATTGGTAAATGTATATTTTATTATTATTATTGTTAGTCATCTTTTATCGTAATTATTAATATTTACCATAATTCTATAACCTATATATATATTTATAACGATAAGGGTGTGTTTTGGCTGCTTTATACAGTTCTGGAGATTTTCCAATGTCTATTTGGATTCCGTTTATTTGGGGCTTAATTCAGGCGTTTTTAGTTTTATTAAGATGCTTTTCAACTTTTACGACTATTCTATAGTCATTATATAATTATTACTAAAATACTTAGATATCGTAGAGTAAAAAAAGATAATTTAAATACTATATATTATTTAATTATTTATGATAATTACACTTCGTATAATATAATTTATAATTATTTGAATGGTTTATATGATATAGAAATTCTAAGCCTATTAAATTATTATAATAAACTTATTTATATACTATATATATTGGCGTGGTTTTCTGAAGAGCTTATTTATACTATTTGTATGTAGAAATAAAAAGAAGAGACTTTATTTTACGTTCATTATATATTATAAGCTATTCAAGGTTATAGATTGTCAGAACTAAAAATTTGGTTTTCGCCGATATTGTATGTTAAATAAAATGTTACGTAATTTGATGGACCATTAGAACCAAAGTTAGAAATTAAAATTGCTAATGTATTATGCAACGTAAAAATGAATCGGAATCACACAAATGACTACAAACAATATGACATATTGCTAAACCTGCTGCTCAAAACACGAATTTATATAAACAGTACTTCTTATTTGCTTATATTCTACATTGTACATAGTAATATGAATAGAAATATCAAGTAATTTCTCTGTATTACTCGTGAATCATGTATTTAGACCATTTTATAACCTAACAATACCTAATAGTAGTAGTACAGTATATATATCATTAATTTTATCAGTATTCACATTATTTGATGGCTTTAAATAATAATCCTTCAGACATTATCCCTTCCGAACGTTTATCATAACTCAATAATACTACTGTACTATAGTAAAACATCTAATGAGTAAGTCTATCTTCATGAATTATAATATTTTATAATATTATTCATATGTGTGTGTCTTTTTACCTTCTCGGAAATTCGAAAATTCTATACAAAAAATAAATTGGCGTTAATGTTCATAGTAAAATATTTAACAATAATTCAATCGTTTCATTAAAAAAAAAAAAAAATTACATGGTGCTGATCTTGATTTTATAGACATGTATCGGGAATGTTTCATTAATCGAAACAAGTTAGAGTTCTTTTTGACATATCTAATGATGGCATCGATATGTGCCGGGGAAAAATACCTTTTAGAAAAGCTTAAAGATTGAAATGAAGTATTCATATTCTCCAAAAAGGCTTCAAGGGATTGTGGAGTAAATAAAAAATCTCTGAATACAAGTTCATGCAAGCCGGTTGGTAAATGTTTTGCCATCTCTTCATATTTACATATAGGATATGCCCTATCAGTAAAAGTGATATATAGAATCTCCAGCTTATTTGATACATCCAAAAATGAGAGTAAAGCGTTAAACGCGTTGTTATCACCATCTTTAAGCACTAATCTACAATCTGTGAGATTTTGACAATGAATCGTCATAACTCCTAAAACTTTAATCAAATCTGATTGTGGTGTTATCCCAGCAAGACGTAAACTTTGTAATTGATTGTTTGATTCTCGAATAATTTTAATCACCATTTCAGCCGAAATTCCAGGATGTACATAAATTTCTAATCTTTTCAATTTACTAAAATTTGTCTTTTGCAAAGTACGCATCTTATCAGGACCTATACCAACACATTTCCATAATATCAAATGACGAATATTCACACATTTTGCAAGCTCCTGTAAATCCTCACAATCAAGAAAGTTGCATCTATTAAATTCGATAGTATGTAAAGTTTTAGTCTGAGAAGCTAATGATGTGAGAAGATGTGGAGTAACGTGATTTGTAAAACTATTATTCTCTGGTCGAAAACCAAGGCGAAAATGTTCAAGATTATGTTGAACTTGAATGAGATTAATCAACATATTCATTCCATAATATGTAACTTCAACATCTACCAATAATTTTTTTATGTGAAAACATTGTTGTGATAATGTAAATAAATCAAGATCATGATAATTTCCTTCGATTTGAAGTGTGGATAACCGAGAGATGCAAGCGTTATTGCCAGACATTGCTTGAGTGAGAGTAACATAATCTGGTGTTCCGGACCAAAGAATTAGTGTATCCAAAGCAGGACAACGACTTATCAATAATTCAAGCAATTTATTGGTAATTAAAATAATGCAAATCTCACTCTCCCTAAAACGCCTTTGTACTTCGTTTGATGCAGTATTCACAAACCAGGAATTGATTAAACTAAACATAGAACGTAAATCGAGCTGTCTTAAAAAAGATAGTATATTATATAAAAAGTTAAACAATGAGTACAAAAGTTACAAAGCACTTAAGAAATTTTTAATCTTGTAACGATATATATAATATATATATATTGATATAAATAAAATAAAATAAATAAAATAATATAGTTACATATTTTTTTACTTACCGTAAAAATGATGGATAATCAAATAATGGAGGATGAGAAGGTGATGTGGTAGTAGTAGGAAATAACATCCAATTTCGAATAAAAGACCATTGAATTTGATCTTCAAAACATGAAATATAAGTTCTAAGAAGATATTCATTGGGCTTCTCTTTTAATAATATAAATGGTTCTCTCCATAATATAGGAATAGCAACTCTGCACCAAGAACGACATACTAAAAGGCAATTATGCAAAGAATTTTCGTCATTCCAAAGGAATTCAAAAATTCTTGAAAGGCACTCAGGAATGGATAACGGCGAGGATGACATATCCGTTACTATAAGAATCAATATTCAAAATCAACTAATCTGTTCTGATAGGTAATGAAAAGAAAGGTAAGAAAAGAAACCCTCTAATCAGCACCTTCGACTAAGAACATATTTTCCGATAAACTAGTGATGCTTATTTATTTCAAAAAAAAAATACAAACTGAGTTAATCAATCACATGATATAATTATTTTTTCATAATTCTCTTTGGACAAAAAGTCTTTTAACCATTTTTTTTTGAATCGAATTAAAATAATTATATATTTCGTACCCTCAATAATAAACTATGAGCCGATCAACAATATATTCCCCCTGATATGAAGGAGATTTATGCATTATGCATAAATATACGTGTGATCTAATGGGATTTTCTAAAATGGTAAGATCCGGTAGGTTGAACTAGCTGTATTATTCCTTCTTTCACTGTACGCTTGTTTGTATTGTACTGGTACACATCATAATAATAATAAAAATAATAATTTTAAAGTCACATGATTAAATAGTTTGGAATATCTATATGTCAGAATTCCTGATCTAGATAATCAAATTTATTTTCGAAAAATTCTTTCATATCTTTATAAAATGGTTATTAAACCATTCGTTACTACTTATCTTAAAAAAACATGTAATGAAAGATTTATATTACAGATAAAACGATATGTAACATCTCATCAATATAGCACTCAAATTAGATCAGAGCGGTCGATTCTTTATAAACCAAATAAATGGGAAGCAATTATCGGATTAGAAGTTCATGCACAATTAAATTCAAAGACAAAATTATTTTCTTGTATGTGTTTATTGAAATAAATAACTCAAATTATATAAAATATTAAATAAAAGTAATAACGTTTTAAATGATTAAAATAAATAGCGTCATCCACATCTTTTAATGAACCTGTTAATACCAACGTATCAGTAATCGATGCTTCATTTCCGGGAACACTTCCGGTAGAGAATGATGGAAAGATTTAAACCTGATGAATTAATAATCGTAAAAACTTAAATAAAAAAAAAAATTTTATCATTTTCGAATCAGCAATTGAATGCTAAATGCATTGAACTTGCTGTCGCAGCATCATTAGCATTATCAGGAAATGTTCAATTAATATCTTCATTCGATCGCAAACAATATTTTTATCCTGATTTACCAGCTGGTTATCAAATAACTCAACATTATGGTAAGATATTTTAAGAAATGTTTTCGATTAATGATATTCTTCTAATTATTTTTTAAATAATAGCGCCAATATCTCTTGGTGGTAAGGTCTTTCTAAATTATTTAGATGGATTAGAATATGAAACTATGGTTAGAATCAAACAGATTCAACTTGAACAGGTGATTGATTCATCAAAAATAAATTCCATCATTTATTGAAAATTTAAATTAAAATAAGACCAATGTTGAAATTAGGATACAGGTAAAAGTATCCATGACATTGTACCTGGTATGACTTTGATTGATTTAAATCGAGCAGGAATTGGATTAATAGAAATTGTTACTGAGCCAGACATGAGGTACATATTCATTATATTACAGTTATTTTGTCATGTATTTTATTCAGCATTGCAATTTTTTGACTATAGGACACCAAAGGAGGCAGGCTTAACTGTTAAGAAGTTGCAATCAATACTTCGGGCAATTGGATCTTCAGATGGTAACATGGAAGAGGTTCGAGGCTTTCGGATATACTTTTTTCCATTTGAGTTTCAGTAGTACTATTTATCATGCATATCTTTAGGGTTCATTGCGGTGTGATGTTAATGTTTCTGTGCATGAACATGGAACTCCATATGGAACAAGATGTGAAATTAAAAATTTGAATAGTATTAAATTCCTTATGGCTGCTATTGGTAACATATCAATATCTATATCAATTAATATTGAAATGAATTGAAGCTAAAATTTCTTTAATTAATTTAGACGTGGAAATAGAGAGACAGATAAATGAGCTAGAAAATGGTAATAAAATCGTGCAAGAGACTAGAGGATTTGATGTAAAAAAAAATAAAACATATAGATTAAGAACAAAAGAAACTGCTACTGATTATAGGTATCAAGCCTGATTTGTCGTTCAATGAAATATATAAAGTGATCCTTCTATTTCCACGACTTTTACCGATTAGTATTTTTCGTATTAATTTATTGTTTAAAAGACCTCCTTAATTGATATGAAAATAAATTATATGGAATTAGTGGAAATAGGTAGGATCACCATACGGATTTTGGTTTCATGAAACGACATTAATAAATAAATAATTACTTTAGATATATGCCTGAACCAGACTTGCCACCATTAATATTAAACAAGGTATTCATACTTTAAATTACTTTATGATGGGGGTTTTTTTTTGATACAAATTAAACAACTCATTAAATTTTAACGAAGGATTATATCACGCGTATATCGGACAATTTACCCGAATTGCCGGACGACCTTAAAACAAGAATAATGAAAAAATATGGTATTCCATTGCACGATGTTATAGTATTAATGAATGAAACCGGAGGTATTAAATATTTTGAGGAGGTAAAAAATATTACCGAACGTTATAAATATATATGTGAATAAACATATTGATTGATTCATTTCGATTTTGTAAACATAGGCAGTAAAGAATCGTAATCCACAACACGTTTCAAATTGGTATGAAATATACGTGATACAAAATAATTAGAATTGATGCATAATAAAACTATTAATATTCATTCATTGTAACAAAACTAGGATTACGCACGAATTATTTGGACGTCTACACGCAAGAAACATCAAGTTTTCTCAGAATCCAGTGTCAGCACTTCAGCTAGGTTCTGTCATTGATTGCGTTGACAATGGTGATATCACAGGTAATCAAATATTTCTACTTTCTAAATGTATTTTGTGAAGATAATTCTAAAGAATTGGTTCGCTATTTAAAGGAAAAGTTGGAAAGAAGATTCTTGAAAAAATTATCTCTGGAGATTCAAGATTGGCCTCTACAATAATCCAAGAAGAGGGCTTGAGGCAATTAAATGATATTAATGAACTTGAAGTAATCTGTCAAGAAGTTATTTTACAAAATCCTGAACAGGTAACCCATTATTTTTGCTTTGATATTATTTTTTTGAATTTATTAAAAACTTTATTCTGTTGTTACAGTTAAAATCCCTCAGAGAAGGAAAGCAAACCGTTTTCGCTTGGTTCGTAGGACAAGTAATGAACAAAACGAAAGGACAAGCAAATCCTAAATTAGTCAATGAAATATTAAGGAAATTGTTATAAATTGGCTTTCTGATAATATGAATGCATAGAAAACAGAATAAATATAAGGAGGAGCCGGGTATTATGGCACTTAAGAGTCGTACATATAAAAAATCGAAAAATTTTTAGGAAAAACGTATCTGTTTACAAAATTTAACAAAGTAAAATAACATTCGATTTACTATTGAATGATAAAAAAAACTTAAATTTAAACTTTTAAAATCTATTAACGTTTTTTCATAGTAAAATTAAAAGAAAAATTGAACACGTGAATAATACGTGAAACATAATATTTACCTTCATTTATTTCGTAGTTCAGTAATTAGAACCATGCGATTTTGAGTGCTGTCTAACGGGATATAGCTAAAAAACCTAAGTGCCCAAATTACCCACCCGTGGCGCCAGAATACCCGACTCTCCCTTACTGTATACGATATTAGAGATCTTTTAATGCTTTATAAACTGTTAGCAGCATTAATTCTTAAAATTCTCTGAATAGATTATTAAAACAATAATGCAGTAAATCAACTACTGTAAGTATAAGTATACTAAATATAATAAGACTAAACAGTATATAAATATCTGTGCTTGAAATTTACTATAGTTTGCACATTCATTATCGTTATTGGTTGTTTTTGGCCGATAGCCCAATAATTACATCAACAATACTCTATATCATGACGCGACTTAATGTGCAGATTCATTTAAAAAAGCTATAGCGATAGAAAAAAAGCTCATATATGTATAATTTCGTCTTAATGACATAATTATTAGGTGGTCGGATGGTGTATAAAATTTATCTTTACAGATATATAAGTTGAATTATTCATTTCGTTACTTTTTGTTTTTGCATTCAGAAATAGAATAAAATTTCATTTCAGTCTATAGCGATAATTTGCAACACGTTTCTTAATTTATCTATGTTCAACGTAGTACTTGCCCTGTATGCATTTATATACTAATATATGCGAGCTCAACTTCAGGCATCACAAAATGGTAGAACCTAAACAAGAAGAAAAATCAACCAACGCCTCATTTATAACTCCAATTTCAGAGTTACAATATAGATCTTTTCCGAAAACCGCAGCTTGCTTAGTGATTGGTGATGAAATTCTTAATGGAAAAACTGCAGATACTAACTCTGGTTTTTTTGGTATTATCATTACTCTTCTTTAATTTCTTCATATGACCGACTGATTACTCAGACAATAAAATTGAATAATTCAGCTAAATTTTGTTTCAACCTTGGAATTGATTTAAAAAGAATTGAAGTCATTCCAGATGAGGAAGAAGTAATGACTCTTTTTTTTTTATCATGCAGACCTCAAAATTGTTACTCATTCTTATTTACCATAGGTGATAATTGAATCCGTAAGGCGACTCAGCAGTGATTTTGATTTTGTAGTTACTAGTGGCGGCATAGGTTAGTCGAGATATCAAATATATATTTAAAAAAAAAAAAAATTGACAAAAAAAATTTTATCGCTATTAAATGCAATATTTCATCAGGTTCAACTCATGATGATATAACGTATTCATCGATTGCTCGTGCATTTAATCTTTCATTAAATTATCACCAACCAACAATTGATCGAATGGCGGAAGCTATAAGAAACACACCTCAATTGAAAATGCTTAGGAATGAAACTAAGGAAGCTGTAGAAGCACGTAAACGAATGGCTTTATTTCCACAACCATCATTGGTTGTTTTTCCTAATGAAAAACTTTGGGTTCCAATAGTTATTGTAAATGACAATGTTCATATTTTACCCGGTATTCCAAATTTATTTAGAGGATTGTTATCGGGATATAGCAAGTATCTTAATGGAGGTAAAAAATTTGTAAGAAGGTTCATTAAAACTTATCAGCCTGAATCATTTATCGCACCTGTTTTAACCGAATTTCAAGAGAAATTAAAAGATTTCGGAATAAAAATTGGTAGTTACCCAAAATTGGCTAGGAATAAGGCATGGGTTGTGGTGAGCCTTTTAGCTAGAGAAACTAATTCGCAAGTTGTTGAAAACATTGAAAAGATAGCAAAAGAAATAGCAGAAAAAATTGACGGTTTTATTATTGAAGATTCTGAAGACGAAATTATCGTATTCGAAAAAACTAAAAATAGTAGCAAGCTTTAATTATCTTTTTTTATCATTTTCCATTTACCATATCATCATTATACAGAAATCTATAAGATTTCTTTTTTTACAAATTGCAACCGAAAATAATAACCTTCTCCTAATTTTCTATTATAATATATATTATTATATTAGATCTTTCAGTTGGTTGACTAAACAAATAAAATTTTTGGTTTTTTTTTTAACTGCACTCAAATTTTGAACGATGGAATCTTACTAACACTCTGCTAATTTTCAATGTTCAAAGCTATTTTCGAATTATTCATATTATTAGGATTCGAAAATAGGTTTAACATTTAAATTAACCAGGATGTATCTTAGGCCAAAGTTCGAAAACACAGAAATATTAAACTTAGGATTTGCATTTAATATATCAATATGTATATATAACTTATATTCATAAAACCTTGATCAAAGCAATTTGAAAACACAGTAATTGTTACTTGTCAAGTCTTTAATACAATGTTAATTTATCTAATGCGAATCTATATTTACAATTAATCCAATTAATCATGATATAAATGGTGTGTACGAATATGAAACCTATTTAAAATGTGTAAAATAATTGTAAAGCTTCTAATGTTCATTATAGTCTGACAACTTAAACGACCTGCGAATAAGATATATTAACTTTGCTTGCGCGGAAATCGCTTATCTAAGCGGCACGAAATGTTTGTTGACTCTCAAAAAATAATTTGGTAATCTTCTTTCCCATACCACCATCTTCTAACGAAATCTTTCACCTCTCAAAAAATAATTTGGTAATCTTCTTTCCCATACCACCACCTTCTAACAAAATCTTTCACCATTGTTTTTAACCCCGGAAATACTCTAATATCGTACATTCTAATTTGATAAGAAGTCTCCTTAGAATCTAAGTATAAATTATTTTTATAAATCAACCAACTGCCTTTATTGTCTCTCGGTAAGATAACAATTTTGTAACGTTGCTTATTTTTTGGAAATTCTGGAATCGTAAGTATTCCGTCAAATTCCTCTTGAAATCGTTCAAATCCAATTATATATTTTGGAATTTCTTGTAATTCTGGTTTAATATTTGATGATAATTCATCATTATCGTTATAAGGATTTTTGATTCCCGGAGATTCAAGTGATATGTCTTTTGTTTTGGAACCATCGTCATTACTTAATTTGGCAAAAAAAATTGTGATTACTAAAGCAAGAGTTGACAAGATGAAAATAATACGAATCATTTTTTAACGTGTTTTAATGATTTTTTAATGTGTTTTTTTTAATGATATTTTGAACAAGTGAATAAAATTTCTTTCGTTCAAGTGATTTATTGTACAAAACTTGATTTCGTCCTTTGGACACCTCGATAAAAAAATTTTTTACTTTTCAGATACCTACCTATCAAGGCTATATAAATACTAAAAAACCATTAGATTAGATCGTATAATTTGATCGATCTAAAAAATATTCTATAATTGTTCAAATTTTGGATCGAGATAACTTTGTTTACTACACAATATGAAGAATAATGACCACGTTCATTGCTATTGATGCGTAATAATGATATTTTCTATTTATGGTTCTATTTCTTGAAATTACATATTCTCTCGAAGTTTGATTCCATTAGAACCATTTTCAAACAATGAATGAGAACTTGCATCGCATGATAATGAAAAAAGTTGAGTACATAATTCTACATATTAAGGTTGCATTAATTTACGGTCTTGTATAATATAATATATTATTAAATGCTTGTCCTATGTTATCACTCCTCGTAAAACCTTTATGGCAATGCTGTTCTCTTAGTGTCGTATATGTATATACATAATATTAAAGCTGAAGCGACTATTGAAAATAGTGGCCATTTACTGCGCCAATTTCCATTGTTTAAAGTACTCAAAAATTGATTTAAACTATTACGAATAATTACTGTAGATAATGAATAAGAATATCGGACTTTCCTATTAATGGGAATCAACTATTTAAATAGATCGTTTTCAGCCCTGCATAATATCGAACTGATTAGTATTAGTGTTATTATAGCTTAGACGAAAGACATTATAGGGTCAACAATATTATATCGATTAGCGGGTCAATAACGATAAGTCAAGAGGATCAATTTCGATGTTTTTGCCACTAAAAGATATACGACAACGCAATCAATAAATTATCGCGGTTAGTAAAATTCTGTAGTCTCGTGATCGTTCATTGCCCACATAGTCGATTGTGATTGTGGCAAAGGTAAGCGCTTTCTATACGTGTAAGGATGTCGAACGATCTTTTAAGAATGAATTCTGACCAATTCCTAAAATAATCGACCAGAACTCAGTCCAAAAGGACCTTTTGACTCTTAAACGAATAATAAAATATTGCGACAAAAATTTAAAATTAAATCGTATCCAAAATTTTCCGTGTTTCTGTGGCATTTTTATTTCTTACCTCTTTTTTTAAAAGTCCAATTTCACTGGATTTATGAGTGTCTAATACTGGTGACGTCATGTTATTTCTTATAAATTTGATTGTGTTCGGCCAAGAATTTCTAATTTATGTAATATTAGCCAATCATATTACTAGTTTTTATTAAATAAACTTTGCCCATTTCGGCCAAATAATATTATTTTAAATATTTGGCCGTCGAATATCTATGTGACAACAGTGAATATACAGTATAGAATATAGAATATCGGAATTGAAAAAATTACACGTAATTATATACTGGTGTGGCCTTATTTCATTCATATGTAAGAAACGCAAAAATCTCTTAATTTCAAGCAAAGCAAATTGGTTTGTCTATATTAACAATATTACATATTTCTATATCTATTTCATATTATACAAAAAAGTTCAGTAATACTAAATTCGATAAAACATATAATCATTAACCGTTCAAATTCAATTAAAAAAAATATTTCGAAAACCATACCTTCTAACTCTCAATATAACGTTTGATTTCTCTAATATCTTCACAGATATCTCGAATTTCATTATCCGAATAATGAAGGGTCAAGCTTAAAAATCTCACGAGAAAATTGTCAGGCAAATTTTAACATTGTATTAAATATTCTTCAAATATATCGCACATTACCTTGGTACGAGAGTTTTGGCTTCTTCTATACTTGATGGTAGCAAATTTAAAAGTAATGGTAGTTCAAATTGGTGAAGATTGTATTTACTCAAGGTCCTAAATTCAGGTATTATCAATGTTATAACATTTGTTTGACAACTTCACGATGATGATTTTATTAAAAGTACCTTCGAGCATCATTTAATTGCCCATCATCTCGCATTTTAGTGAATTGATCGACATACTCTAAAGTTTTACTAAAAACACTACGTAAAATGTTAAATAAATAAAAATATCTAATAATATCGATATGAACTAGACAATAAAGATTAAAACACAAACGTTGATTTTGGAGGATTTAATCTATTCCTGACATTTATAAGCAGAGCATTTGTTTCGGAAATACTCAAAGCAAATTGGGTTTCCGATATTAAATCTATACCTTTTTTTTTTTAGAGTCGTTATATGACTATTAGAAAAATCAACATGGGTTTTTGCCTTGAAAATGATCTCATGGGACATAGTACTTTCTAGGCTATAGTAAAGCATCCGGTGTACATGTTATTTGAAAAATCTGCCGATGATTATCATCGACCAATTTAGAAAATT